CCGAAAAGGCCACGTCCCCACATTCGACTGGTTCTTTGGGTATGAGGAAACCCAGGGGTTGCTACTGCCGCTCCTGCAGGAGACAGTGGCTGCCTGCCCACTGCGGGTGTTGGACGTGGGCTGTGGGACCTCCAGTCTGTGTACAGGCCTCTACACCCAGTGCCCACATCCCGTGGATGTGCTGGGGGTGGACTTCTCTCCTGTGGCTATTGCCCACATGAAGCGTCTTCTGGAAGGTGGCGAAGGCCAAACACCCCTGTGTCCTGGGCATCCTGCCTCCAGACTCCACTTTATGCAGGCTGATGCCCAGAACCTGGAGCCAGTGGCTTCCTCAGGCTCCTTCCAGCTAGTGCTGGATAAGGGCACCTGGGATGCTGTTGCCCGTGGTGGTCCGCAGGGAGCTTACCAGCTTCTGTCAGAGTGCCTCAGGGTCCTAAGCCCTCAGGGGACCCTGATTCAGTTCTCAGACGAGGACCCTGATGTGCGGCTTCCCTACCTGGAGCAAGGGTCCCCAGGCTGGAGTGTGACTGTGCAGGAGCTAGGCCCTTTTGGGGGCATTACTTACTTTGCTTACTTGGTCCAAGGCTCTCATTAAAGCCTTCAGTCCTGACCCAAATTTTTCTGTTGGGTGAGGAGGGCGATGGACAGCTTTTCAACTTTGTAAGATGGCTGGGAAGTGAGGATTTGAGGCCTGGCCTCCGCATTTACTAGTTGGGTACACAGAGTATGGAATGTTTCTGTCCCCTGGTTCTCGAACTGACAGCAGGGTAGGAATAATAACCCGGAGTTAGGGGATTACAGATGATGATGGGTGAAATATGGAGCATTTAGCAATGGCAGGCACAAAAGGGGTGCTAAATAGAGAAGGTACAGTGATTAATTCCCCAGCCCCAATAAACTGGAACTCCTAAAAACAGGAGTTTTGTGGGGTATTTGTGGGTTATTTTGAGGACTTTGGGTTTTGTTTGTTTTTAGATTTATTTATTCTAGAGAGAGGGAGAATCCCAAGCCATCTCCATGGCCAGTGCAGAACCCAAATCAGGGCTCCATCTTAAAACCCTGAGATCATGACGTGAACTGAAACCGAGTCGGATGCTTAACCGACTGAGCCACCTGGGTGTCCCCATTAGAGGAGTTTTTTAATCGAGGCGTTCTTAATCCAAATCCCAGTACAGACTGACTTGTGTGACCCAGTGGCCTCACCTATAGAAGGGGGAAGACTGAAAGAACCCACAGAACGGCCTCAACAAATCACCGAAATGTTGAGGGAGACCGAAGGAGACTTACCCTCAAAGCTTCTGGGAGGCAGATGTGAATATTCCATAAAACAGCTTTGACAAACATGGGAGCCTGCTGCTGGCTTCCACAGAGGACAGGGGCTGGAGGCTTCATGATAGTCTGTGTCCCCAGGAATCCAGGAGACCTCTTGTTCTCCATATTCCTGCCCCCACCCAAGTTCTGGGTTAAAGGTTCTTAAGGGAGATCGGGGGTCCAGTGGGCTCCAAATCCAGCCTGGGGGAAAGAGCAGTTGGAAGAGCCCATTAAGGGTGAAAAATACTTCTGATCTATTACTGACTTTTTAAAAAATGCTATTTATTTACTTAGTTTTAAGATTTTATTTATTTATGACAGATCGCAAGAGAGGGTGAGCTGAAGGCAGATGCTTAACGACTGAGCCACCCAGGCAGCCCTATTACTGACTTTGAAATATGAAACGGGTGTCTGGGTGGTTCAATGGGTTGGGCCTCTGCCTTTGGCTTGGGTCATGATCTCAGGGTTCTGGGGTTGAGCCCCACATTCAGGCTCTCTGCTCGGTGGGGGGCCTGCTTCCCCCTCTCTGCCTGCCTTTGCCTGCTTGTGATCTCTCTCTGTCAAATAAATAAATAAAATCTTAAAAAAAAAAGATGAAACAAATTTGTGTGTTTTTTATTATTAGAAAAAGTAATATAGCAACTATAATTAAGAGGCTAATTTCAGGGCAGCCTGGGTGGCTCAATCTGTTAATCGGGTGGCTCAGGTCATGATCACAGGGTCCTAGGATGGAGCCCCGGCACTGGGCTCTCTGCTCAGCAGGGAGCCTACCCCCCCCCCACCGCCCCGCTCCGCTCCCCACCTCTGCCTCCCTCTCTGCCTACTTGTGATCTCTGTCAAATAAATAAATAAAATCTTAAAAAAAAAAAAAAAAAAGGATAAGGCATCCAAAATGTAACTTATCTCTGGGTAGTTGATTTAGGATAATTTTTTTTTTCCCCCACAACAATGAACTTTTTTTTTAAGATTTTATTTGGGGGCACCTGGGTGGTTCAGCGGGTTAAGGTTTTATTTATTTGACACGGGGAGGGGGGCCAAGGGGGAGAGTAAGCACAAGCAGGCTCCCTGCTGAGCAAAGAGCCTGGTGCAGGACTGGATCCCAGGACCCTGAGATCGTGAGCTGAAGGCAGACACTTAACTGACTGAGCCACCCAGGTGCCCCAAACTGTGAATATTTTAAGCAATTAAAAATAGTTGAAAGTCTGGGGCACCTGGGTGGCTCAGTGGGTTAAGCCTCTGCCTTCGGCTCGGGTCATGATCTCAGGGTCCTGGGATCGAGCCCCGCATCGGGTTCTCTGCTCAGCGGTGAGCCTGCTTCCCCCTCTCTCTGCCTGCCTCTCTGTCTACTTGTGCTCTCTCTCTCTCTCTGTCAAATAAATAAATAAATAAAATCTTTAAAAAAAAAAAAATAGTTGAAAGTCATCACCCATCTGACATCAGAACTTCCCTCTAAAGTTCAACTGCGCCAGACACCTTTAATTTCTCTCCACTCTACTCCTTTTCCGGTCCATTTCCTAAGCACCTACGGTTTGCCTGTACGGGGACACAAGTAAGTTTTCCATCTCAGTCCTGCCCAGAACATCCCCGTCACAATGGCTGCACTGGAGCAGCTGCCTCCCTCACCTGGCTCTTCACTTTGGTCCTGGAAGAAGACCTCGGCCTCCTCTTCCTCATCGGTGAGCAGCAACAGCTCGTCATGTGGCCAGCCAAGCTCCCCGCTGTCTTCACTCACCTCAGACGCTTCCACCACGATGGAGGGCAGGGGGGTCTTTTGAGAGACAACCTGAATCGGGATAGCAGGGCGCTTGGACCAAGTGGGAGGATGAGCCAGCCGCCGGAGCACAGGGTGGGGAAGTACTGACCTGAGCATCCTGGTGACCTTCAACCCTGACAATTTCTCCTCTGTCCATCCGCAGAGGGTGCATCAGCCAAGGACTTTCTGGGTGCCGGGAGGAGCCTGGGCGATCTCTAGGCCAAGACCCGTCCTCACTGCTCCCTGGCACAAGGGCCATGGGTGCAAATCCTTGGAGCGTGTAGTGGTTGAACTCAAAGCGGAGTACCCCTGCTCAGTACACTCTAGAGACTGCTCCTTTAATCTTTGGAGCCTGGCCCCTTAATCACTTCTGAGAAGAGAATGAAAAGCTAGGAGATTATGGGCCTTCCAGGGGAGGGGGAAATCCCAAGAGGTGGAGCAATACCTGCTCCCTGGAGGAATGTGGGAATATGTCTTCTCACTCCCTGGGTGACAACTGGGAAAGGCAGGAGGGGTAGGGGTCAGCAAGGGTATCTGGATGAAAGCCCTGTGAGTGAGTGAGGAGCTTTGCCAACAAACTTGAAATTTCTTGATTCCTTTGGTTCCTGGGTCTCCTGATTTGACATGTTTCTTTATGTCTTATTTAACAAATATTTATGGTGTTAACAATTTGACAGGAACAGTGTTAAATGCCTTACATATAATCTCATTCAATTATCCTAAAACTATGAGATAGATTCTATCATTAACCCTGTTTTCTGCATCAGAAAACAGGGGACAAAGAACTTGAATGACTTGCCCAGAGTTACCCACCTAAAAGGTGCTTTCTTTTCCAAACTAGAACTCAGTATGTTACTCCAAATTCAGAGGTTTCACTGGCAGGGGGTGATGGGGGCGGGTGCAAGGGAATACCATGATGAGAAAAACAGCACATTTACTCTTTTTTTTTTCTAGTTTTTTTTTTTTTAAGATTTTATTTATTTATTTGACAGACAGAGATCACAAGTAGGGAGAGAGGCAGGCAGAGAGAGAGGAGGAAGCAGGCTCCTCGCGGAGAAGAGAGTCCGATGTGGGGCTCGATCCCAGGACCCTGAGATCATGACCTGAGCCGAAGGCAGAGGCTTTAACCCACTGAGCCACAGAGGCGCCCCACATTTACTCTTTTTTATAAAAGATTTTATTTACTTATTTGAGAAAGCACGAGCAGTGGGGAGGGGTAGAGGGAGAGGGAGAAGCTGACCCCAGTTGAGCAGGGAGCCCCATGTGGGGCTCCATCCCAGAAGCCTGAGAGATCATGACCTGAGCCAAAGGCAGATGCTTAACTGACTGAACCACCCAGGCGCTTCCACCAAATTTACTTTTAATAAGTTTAACAGGGGCGCTTGGCTGGCTCCCGCGGTGGAGCCTGCCACTCATGATCTCCGGGTGGTGAGTTCGAGCCCCACAATGGGTGTGAACTTTACTTAAAAATAAAATTAAAAAGAAAAAGTATTTTTTCCACCCAGTACACTTGACTTTGGGTTTTCGTTCATAAATTGAGGGAATTTGGAAGGGTGAGCAGATTGATGTGTGTAAGCATCTGGCTATCCAGTACCGGCTGTTCTGAAAACGCACAAATCATTGTAGGAAACTACAGAGCACAGAATCAACCTGGAAATTCCAGAACTGGGCAAAGTAACCCCACAGCAACCAGGCCGACAATCCCATTTTGAATTTCCTGACAGTGAGCCCAGAGCTTGGCCCTCGATGCCAACGCTTCGGGACACGGTCAACTTCTCCAGCCCTTCCAGACCCGAGCGCTTGGAGCCGACCAGGCCCTCTCTAGCCCGGCTCCTTCTCTATGATCTCCGCTGCGGGCCGCTCTAGCCTGCGCGGGAGGCGGTGAGACGCCGTGGACGGCTTCCCAGGCGGCGAAAGTCCCAGAGGGTCTCCTCGCCCGCCGCGCGGTCGGCCATGGAGGTTTTGCGCAAAGCGCTGATCGTGGGTGCCCTTCTGGGCGCGGGGGCTGGCGTGGGCTCCGCGCTCTTTGTCCTCGTGACCCCGGGAGAGGAGCAGAAGCAGGCGATGCTGAAGGTGGGAGTAACTGGGGGGGTGCGAGATGGGGCAGGCGGGCGGAGAGCCCCGGGCTGGGGGCTCAGGACGGCGAACCTTCCTACCCGCAGGAGATACCCGAGCAGGACCCGCGGCGCAGGGACGAGGCGACCAGAACCAAAGAGTTAGTGCTGGCCACTCTGCAGGAGGCAGCGACCACGCAGGAGAACGTGGCCTGGAGGAAGAACTGGATGGTCGGCGGCGACGGGAGGTCCGCGTGAGCCCGGACCTCCCTCGTGGGCGCTGGCACCTTCCTCCCGCGGAGTCCGGCGCGGCCTTTCTCCCCCGTAGTCCCGGTAGGGAGTCCGGACCCGGGGTGGAACGCCCGGGCCTCCTTGAGGCCCCGGGAGCCGCTGCGGGGTGAGCACGTGGCGCCTCCACCCGCAGGCGCTGCGCTGATAGCGCTTTCCCGTCCTGCGTCGCGGGCCAGGGCGTGGGATGTGGCCAACTGAAGGAACCAATAAATCACGTTCCTCTGTCCGGTCAGTAAGTCCTGCGGTCTGACGCCTGTGTCTAGAGTGTTCTGGGGATCCGTGTAGGGGACGCGGATGACTGTGGGTCCCACCGGCCCTGCAACGACCACCTTTTCCAAACACAAGCCAGGTCTTGTGGTCTGAGTGGCCATTCGGTGATAACCAGGAGACATTCTCGAAATCAGAACTTTCCTGGAAAATCCTGTAGCAGTAGATGCCCATGGAGGACACCTTGGGTGAAGTTGGAGAGGGGCTGTTGGTATTAGCATGTGCGGTGATGCTTTCTGGGGCTGCCGAACCGTTGGAGGCCAATTTAAATTGCCCAGCGAAAGGAGGGTGCTTTGAGTCAGACAGATCTTGATTAAAGTCCTGCCTATTACAAAACCTTTCTGAGATTCAGTGCTGTTTCATAAAAGGTGGTAAGTATCTTGAAGGTTGTTGTAAAAAGATTAACTTGGAAATGTAAAGTGCATTGCTTGGCACAGAGCATCACTTCAATAAAGGTAGGGGAGGGTTTCTCCTTCCAAAGATTTCAAGGTAGTTCAGTCTCTGAATCCAGTCATGGCTCTCTTGTAGATGCCACTGAAGTAAGGAAATAAAGCTGGCATTTGGGTCACAACCCACATCCAAGTCAACTAATTCACTCCCTGTTGTCTGTGGGTTTTTTTTGTTTTGTTTTTTAAGATTTATTTGAGGGATGCCTGGGGGGTCAGTTAAGCGTCTGCCTGCAGCTCAGGTCAAAATCCAGGGGTCCTGGGATTGAGTCCCGCATCCTTCTCCCTCTGCCTGCTGCTCCCCCTGCTTGTGCTCTGACAAATAAATATAATCTTTAATAAAAAAAATTTTTATTTGAAAAACCCTGGTGGGGAGGGTGAGAGGGAGTCATAAGCAGACTCTCTGCTCAGTGCAGGTGGTGGGAAGTGGGGGGACTCAATCTCACAACCCTGAGATCATGACCTGAGCCAAAGCTAAGAGACCCTTAACCAGCTGAGCCACCCAGGTACACCTGTTGTCTATCTTACATCCTGTGGTTCCAAGCAAGATTTCAATTGAAGGAAGAAAAAAGGCCTGAACAGTAAGTACAGCTTGATAACACTGAGGTCCAAACCCAGATGGCAGCACTGGGGCTGTTTCAGCTGGTGGATGGTGAACCCCTAAGCCAAACAAATTTGTTATGTGTGATCTTCAGTTTAATTGTGGCCTCTTTCTGAGCCTGGGAATGAGAGGGGAAAGGTTAGCAGCTCTTTGAGGGAGCATTAGGGTGAGGGGATCAGCAACACTGAGGGGCTATGAAGCGGGAGCCTGGAGGTTGAGAGCCTGAGCCCTAGAGTCGGGCTTCCCCAAGTGTGCCCAGGTTCTGCTGTTGGTTACCTGTGTTGCTTTCAGCAAGCCATGTGCTTTGGTGTCCCAGTCTCTAAAAGGGGATACTTGTATCTATTCCCAGGTAACTGCCTTTTTATCTCAGTTAATAACAGCAGTTAAAACTGTGTGGTGCATATTAAGTACTCAGTGTTTTTTAGTGAGGAGGAAATGCACCTGCAAAGGTCACTGCATTGCTCCTCTGGCCATTTGTGAATGGCTACATTAAAAAAAAAATTACCCTTTTAGGGGGGCCTGGATGGGTCGGTCCATTAAGCCTCTGCCTTCAGCTCAGGTCATGATCCCATGGTCCTAGGATCGAGCCTGTTTCTGCCCTCCCCCTTGCTCACGTTCTGTCTTAAATAAATAAAAATCTTTTTTTTTTTTTTTAATTACCCTTTTAGTAGCTAATAGTTACTGAAAACTTATTAGGTCCCAGGCAGTGTGCTAAAGCCCCCTATCACCATTATGTAACACCCACAATAATCTGAATTAACAGGTACTATTGTCCTTATTTTAATAAAGAGGTAACTAGGCTGCTTCAAGAAGTCAAGGCAGGGGCAGGTGGACGGTGCCAAAAGAAAAAAAAAAAGGCATAGGAGTAAGGATTTCAGGCCTATGCACTGCTTTTTACCCATAGGAGCAAAGGGTGCTATCCATTGTACTCTCCTAACCCCAACAATTCTCCCCTCTCAACTTCCCAAGCAAATAAAAAGACCCAGATATTGTTACCAAGTTTGTTAGAAGCTTTAGTTGAGGGGTACCTGGGTGGCTCAGTGGGTTAAGTGTCTGCCTTCAGGGGCACCTGGGTGGCTCAGTGGGTTAAAGCCTCTGCCTTTGGCTCAGGTCATGATCCCAGGGTCCTGGGATCCAGCCCCACATCGGGCTCTCTGCTCAGCAGGGAGCCTGCTTCCCCGTCTCTCTCTCTGCCTGCCCCTTTGCCTACTTGTGATCTCTGTCAAATAAAATCTTTAAATGTCTGCCTTCAACTCAGGTTGTGATCTCAGGGTTCTGGGATGGAGCCCCTCATGGAATTCCCTATTCGTGGGGAGCCTGCCTCTCCCTCTGCCCCTGTCCCCTCCCCTAATCATTTTCTTGCTGTCTCTCTCAAAATGAATACATAAAAAAATCTTTAAAAAGATTTAGCGGTTTAACCATCTGCCCTTAGCTCAGGTCATGACTCCAGGATCCTGGAATTGATACCCTCATTAGACTCACTGCTCATTAGGGAGTCTGCTTCTACCTCTGCCTCTCCCCCATGCTCATTCTCTCTGTCGCAAAAAATAAAATCTTAAAGAACGAAAAAAACATCAAGATGAAAAATAGGGCCTATCCTAAATGCCTTCCCTTTGGCTTCTTCCTCTGCCTGTTTTGTCCCTCCCAGCCATTCAGGAAGGAGTGAGGCACATATAGAACTCAGGGTCTATTTATTAGGAAGGAGATGTCAGTGCTTTATCAAAGATGAAGAGGTCAGAGAGGGATGGTGAGATAAAGGCCTCTCAGCTGGGACATTTCTTGGCCACAATGAGGACAGCAGAAGGCACAAGTCCTGAAGATTGAAGAAGACAGCTTTGACCACAAAGATCCTTGCCTTTTGCCCCCCAAATTTCTGGCCTCACACCATCTCCTCCAAGTCCCTTCTGGCATTCCTTCCTTTCTCGGGCATCCCCTCCCCTCCCCGAACCCCTGTTCCTGGTCCCAGGTGTCATACCCAGCTCCTGCAGAGGCCGTTCCATGTCCGCCTCGGAGAAGGCCCGCCGGGGGAAGCCACTGAGCAACTGCACAGGGTCCTGGCCTCCCCCAGGTTCTTCCCCGCGGTGGAGCTCCACGTAGAGCCTCACAGCTGCCAGCTGTTCCCGTGCCCGGAACGTCTGGGTCAGTGAGGTCCCATCTGGCAGCCTGACCTGGAAGGCAAGCGAGAAATACAGTGCTGTGAGCATCAAAACTGAGTGTGGCGCCCAAATAAGGAAAACAAGAACTGCATCGAGAGACTGAACCGGCATAATTACTCTCAGAAGCAGCCGATGAACCACCACTTCTCTGCTTCCCTAAGGCTGTAAGACTGCAGCTTTCTCACAGTTTAACAAACACAAGGATAAGCTCATACAAAAATACGGAAATAGCCCACCATGCAAATAGCTGTGCAATAAACTGAGTGAAAACGTGAACAACTAAAAAGGTAACTGCTGAGTAAGACAGAGATACGGATTTAAATTAAGACTGGGTCAAGAGAAGTTTGAAATCTTTCCAAAAGTAGAAGAGAGAGGATTTCAAAAGCCATTTACAAAGAAGGAAAAGGTTCGGCAAAGAGAACCTAACCGGATAAAGCTCTGAGTCAGGTGTCTTATACGCCAACGAAGGGGGTCCCAGAAGCAAGACAGGAATCAGAATCAGTACCTGTATGCGACACTGGTCATATTCCCGCTTGGTGGGAGGCTCCTGGCTGGGAGAGGAGGGAACAGGACCCGGCTCTGTTGGTGGAGAAGGCCGAGAACCCACACTCCCACCATACTGGAGGACAAAGGAAAACACTGGTCAGGCTTTCACCCACTCGTAAGAGGAGCATCGTATGCCCATCCTTTCCCTCTGAAGCTAGGAAAGGGAATTTTTTTTACTAGCCCACCTACTTCTTTACCCCAGTGTCTTCCCAATCACCTACCTTCTTGGCTCTTTCTGCTTTGTCTCTCTCAATCTTTTCCCGGACTCTCTGTCTGGAAGGCAGACAGGAAGAAAGTACGTCAGATGTTGACAAAGCAAACCTAGCTTCCCGTCTCACCAATTAGCCAACGTCCACATCACCCAGACCTGGCTGCTAACTCTTCAGCCTTTTCCCTCCTCCGCTCCTCAGCAGCCCGGCGCATCTCATCTTCCTGAAGCCGCTGTCGAGCAGCTGACAACTCTTGCCCTTGTTTCCTGCGCTGCCTTTCCCGCTCCAAAGCCTCTCGCTCCTCTCTTTCTTCCCTCTCCCGCTGCTTTTGGGCCACCAGCTCCAACATCCTATGTTGCAGAAAAGAAAGAGCTCAGAAGAGATGGACACAGATCGAGGTGAGTTTATAACGGATGCAATACGAAATACGGTAACACGTGTCCAAAGAGAGAAGAAAGAAACCGCCAAGACAGGACAGACGAAGAGCATTAAGTTCCAGGTTCTTTCATCAGAGTTGTGTATTGTGGACAGGTCGAAGGTGACCCTCAGGAACATGACACTGTTCCTTACTATACCTCTTAGTCTGTTCCTGTCTCTCTTCTTCACTCAAAATGGGTTTGCCTCCTCCAGCAGCAGAGCCGGTTCCTACAAACAAGCAATCACTGTTACTGCCCGTTCATCCTCCTCAAGCCCTCGTGAATAACCAACACGGTGCTCCTCCGTCAGGACCTTCAGGGCCACCTTGCTCCGGGGAGGTAGGTTCCCTTCCCAGGACATGTCCAAGGGGGGTCGCTAGCGGCTCGTCTACGTCGGGGTCGTCTTCGTGCTCCATCA